GGGGACGAGCTGCGGGCAGCTCTGCAAAGCGCCGCGAGCCCACGGTGACGGCCACGCTTCGGTCACTGAAAATTCTCATTACCAGGCAGATCCAAGGGCGTGAAATAAAACAATACGGTGGTTACCCAGAGGATAAGCCCTTGTACTTACAAGGTCCCTTGTGAAAAACATACAGAATACCTAAAACCAAGAGAACTCAAATAGAAATGCCATGTTCCAATAGGAAAATCTATTTCCAGAATTCTCTTTGCTGCTTTTTTAAATTCTCAACTTCTTCAGTCTTTTACCCCAGGGCTCCTAGTTCCTCGCTCCATCTCCTCATTCAGGGCAACCTTCCTACAACCTCACACTTCTCAGAGCCACCATCCGAGACACCTCTCTGATAACCAAAATATACCTATTTCTAGACATAAAAATTCTTCTCTATTTGGAGACCGGACCTGCGTATGGCATAAAATATGTCTGAACTCTGGTTCTTATCTAATTAAAGTGAGAAAATTTTTACATAGGAACCATAATGTTTGTTACCTACAAAATGGTGCACAACCATAGCTGTGCAATAAAACTATCCACAAAAATTGTTATCATCAGCCCAATAGATAAGAAAAAAAAAAGGGCCTGAGAGTAAGCCTGAAATATAGGCCTATGTTAAAATGCTATGTAAAATTTATGGAGAAAGCAAGAGAGAAGCTTACCGGGCATCTGAAACATAGAATTGAAACATTAAGTACATTATGGTTTTTTCCATTTTGGGGAATTTTTTAATTATATGTCAGTTTGAAAAAAATTGTTTTTTAACACATAAACAGTCCAAATTCCAAATCATTTTAGACACTTTTAAATTATAAATTAATCAAATATATAAAAGGATATTTCAAGGAAATATTCAAAATCTGCAGCCCTAGAATATAGCATGCTGAACCCAAATCCCTTACTGTATTTTGTCGTTGGCTTCCCAGGCATCCAATATCCTTTGCACTAGGCAGCATTTCTGGAACAGCTAGAGAAAAGCAGAAGAGAGAGAAAGAACATTTCAGGGGTTTCCAAAGACAGATTCCCACCCTAAAGACCCGTCCTGAGCTACGGTTACCCCTGCTCATTCCTTCACTCCCACTGAACAAAACCTGAAGTTCAGCCCTTGAGTTGCCTCCCCAAAATCTTTCGCAGAGGGTCCATGGAAAACAGCAACACTTTCAAACACCCTTGGTCTGCTCGGGGGCTCTACAAGAGCCACAGTGCAAAACATGTTGTGATTTTACAAACACTATAAACACTTTTCATTGTGAGGTCCGCAATGCAGGGATTACCCAGTTGCGGTTATTATGAGCCCTGGTCACGTGTTTCTTTTGTAATTGGATGAAAAAATCAAATGTACAAGAGCAAAAAGACTTCCACCCAGAACTGGAAGAACCAAGCAATGTCTCTGGACAGTTTCAGATAAATTCCGTTCTTCTGAACAGCTTGTCATACAATTTTCTCAAGTGACACAACCAGACTTACGTGAGTCACCATGATATTTTCGGGATTGTTTTCTGGAGTCTCCAGGCTCTCTGTGGCTGCATTTCCATTCACCACCTCTTCTTTGCCTTCTGCGTCGTTAGTAGTAGTTTTTCCCTCTTGTACAGAGTGTGAGAGAATAGCTGCTATGGACAATTCCACTTGGAAATGCAAAAAGTTATTCCACGTGTATTTAAAAAATAAGTCCTGAAACAAAATGAGAAGCAAAAAAAATATCCACTCTATGACACATCTTCCCATTTGTAACAATCAGATGAAATGAAACCACAGCCCCATTAACTGATTAATGAACGACTGCACTAAGACAATTTACCACATTGGTATGAGAGATGCACAGAGCTCACAGCACGGACACCTTAAACAAATATGTTACCTATTCTGTGGTTGTTTAGTTATATGAAGACTATTAACTAAATCATATACAAGTAGAGAAACAGTAATTTTTGGAACTGTGCTGATTATCGTGGCAGCTCTCAGGACACGTCCTTGTTCACGGCTAGACAGGAGGATCTGCACTCAGTATTGTAAGACCTGTCTCCACAACACATCCCAGTGCCCCCGAGAGCGCGCTCAACAACAAGACTCCTTTGCATGCACACGACTAAGCTACTGGAACAACAAATTTGAAGCATGAGCTTCATTTCAACACACTAAGCAACTGTAATTGTTCCACAGAAGCTATTTTGAGACTGGATGTTCCTACTTCCAGCATTTTAGGGAAATAATTAGGTGCTGGCACACATGAAACGTACTCCTTTGCACAGAAAAGATAAAGGAAAAGCCAACAATTCCCGGTTTACAGTTATCCCCCCTTTCACCGTATCTCGCACTACGTTACTCACAAGTAATAAGTTCATGGTACTGAGTCTGCATAGTTCCTGATTAATACTGGGAGTGTTTGTGTGGAGCAGAGCAGCTATTAGCCGAGACCCGTGCAGACGCGCGTTCCCCAGCGGCTCCTCCAAGACCCCGATCGTGGTCAGGATTGCTGTTTTCTGCAGGGAAACAGAGCGCGAGGCCTCAGCAAGCTCCACAGTGCCATGGGAGCAGCTGGACAAGCCGAGCTCCCTCGCACCGCCGCTCCCGACAGGCAACCCCGGCGCTCCCGCTACAGGGAGACGAGCCCAACACGGCTACAACGGGCCGGAATTCCAGCACTGAAGATCGAAGGCAAAATCCCCGCTGGGCCTGGCTAGAGGTTCCTGTTGCTTCCTTCCCCGGGCGGCCTTGCACAAGCTCTACTGCTTTCTCACGCAGGATGCGCCTGCTCCCACGTCCTCCTGCTTGGTTCCTAAGCCCTTGATTCACGGACACTAAGCAATGACTTTTCTTCACGGATACAAGCTAGAGTTTGCCCGCTCCAGCACACAATGCTTTCAGGAAATACCCAGGAACCCTCCGCAGAAAGAAGGGGAAGGCTTGGGGGCAGCTCAGCAGCCCTTCCGCTCCTGGAAAAGGTGGAGATGCTTTACCTTGGGAGGGCTGAGCAGCAGCTGGTGGAAATCCTTTAGCCTTGGTTCAATACCATATAAAATGCTGCTATTGACAGTGTAAGACCTTTCAAATCCCTGAGTGTATGAGTCCATCAGTCCTTCCACCCTGCAAAGAAGAAAAGCACAACAGTCCAGGTCTGACAAAATCTGAAATTTTTACCCACTCGCACTGTTTACGTTGGTCATTTTCGCTTGAAAAATAACCGGGAATATGAAAAACAATCATTTACAGACACTAGGTACATTTACGTAAGTATTATATTGTTTGCAAGATTATATTTACATAATCAAAACAGGGAATAAGATAGAGGGGAAACACAGAACAAACTGCTTGCACAGCTGACTGAAAATAGCAGAGACTTTACTGAAGCTCCTTGGGGCTTTTAAGGCTTCACAAATAGCCAAGGAGCAAGTTGCACCAGTGAGTGTTCGTGTTCCTGAAAGTGTTCCTGCTAGGGAAGACTCACCCAGAGCGCCGCGTTTCCAGCAGTGTTAAAAGAACCTGTGTTCCATTCACTATGCAATTTTCAGTCTGTTCTCCATCAAACATGTTCTTCAGGAGCTGCTCCACACATTCCTGCCTATTGATCCACACAGACACACAGAATTAGAAAGGTTTTGCATTTAATCACAGAAAAAAATCTTTCCTGGTGAAAATAAAGGCTGCATTTTTCCCCTCCTCTCCCGAAAGTCTCATATGACAAGAATGGAGCCACCCCAGGTTAGGAACCTGCTTATTCATTGCTAAGGCAATACTGGGTTACAAACACACAGACGCTGACCAAGAAATGATTCTCTCCCATCTACAGGATGTGCCTCTTTAGTAGGGACTGGAAGGCAATGGGAGTGTTAACTTGGCCTAGTCATTTTTTTTTTAAAGGTGATATGAAGCTATCAACTCATAATCCAAAACTATCCATCAGGGTCTCAGGAAAAAAGGTAACCAATGTAAGCTGAGCCTTATCTTTGCCACCATTATAAACCCCAGGACCTAGACGCAGGAGCAAATCAATGTGAATTGTAAATAATGTGTGTGTTTTCTGTAGTCCTGGAAAAGTTTTAATCCATTCACCATCAATTCGAGGCTTCACCAAGACCAGATGCCCTCCCAGCACTGATAATTTGGGCAGGGGAGGGATGACCAAGGGAAGTTTTGAAGACCAACAGTCTCAGAACAAATAATGATCCCGGGCCTTCCTTAGCATTAAAAATAGTTCTGACACTCAGAGCCTCAGAAGTTATGAATAAACGGCACCAAGGCTATTTTTTCCCCTGGAATCTGCTCTGGGGGTGCGGTGCGCATCGGCCTGTCCCGCAGCAGAGCCCGGTGCCCGCTCCGCATCCGGGCTGCTCCGCGCCGGCTCCGCAGCCGCGGCCGAACGCCCGGGAGGGCCCCTCTCACCTGCTCACACCACGTGGGCAGCTACAAAAAACACTGCTCAGGCCAGAGACTTGCACTACGTTCTCCTTGAAACAACCTCATTTATACAGGTATTAAAAAAATACGAGCTAAAACGTGAAAGCACATAAATAAAAGAGGAGATTAAATTATTTTAATAAACAGCATCTAACTATAGATGGTCAGCTAAAGGGCAGCGTCAGGAAAAAAGAGTAGCCTGCAGTGACTAACCAACCTCACTATGTGCACAAGCTAATCTGTGAAACTGCTGTAGATGGTTTGGGCAGTCACCAAAAACTAAGACGTGACATTAACTCCGTAAGCCTGGTCTGGCTCCTTCCTGCAGCACGTACTGGGCATTAACTCGGGATTCACAGACCAAAATGTTGATTAAAAAAAAAAATCAAAGCAGTTTAGCAGTACTGCCCAGAAGAACCGAGTGAGAAAGGCAAGGAGATGGGCAACACCTACAGATCACAGAGAGATTGGTAGTACAAGAAACCACTTTTGTTCCAAATAGTCTTTCTTATCAACAGTGAAGTGATATATCAACTTTTAGACTGCTGCTTGGAAGCACCACAACAGAAGTTTTATTTATTCTATGGATGTTACAGGTAGTGGCTAGGAAGTGAACACAGTGGAAGCTGGGGAAGGCTGGAAGGGGACGGAAGCAGAGGGAGGAAGAAGCTGAAGAGCAGAAAGAAATGAGTCAAATGTGAAGGTCCCACTCCGTGGAGCTCTGCTGAGGACGCTGAACTCAGAGCACCAGTGTCCAGCAGCTCTCCTCCCAGGGACACGGTGCCCACGCTCGGACACGGCACAAAGCAGCAGCCAGGTGACACGAATCGAGGGAGTTCTGTGTTAACAAACCACCCAGAAGAGGAAGGCTGGGCCCTCTATAGAGACACAGGCTGTAACGGTCATTTCACCTGCTGCACGTCTTGTCTTTTACCCCTTTTCTGTCAAAAGATTGCTAAGGCCTAAAGGAACGTTTTTGGTTTTAATTTCGCATTGACTAGTGCTAGTCAGTGCTTAGTGCTTTTAAGTATGAGGCAAATAAACAAAGTGGAAACATGATAAAGTAATTTAAACTGAATTACAGAGAACAATGAAATAATGCCAAGGGAACAGAGTAAATGTGAAAAATCACCATTTTCTGGTGTACACTATTTCACTTTATTTGGGAAGTAAATCCTAACTTAAAATGAAAACTTAGAGTAAAAACTCTAAATGAAAGAAGCCATTGAGAGATTCAGTGCACGTTGCCTGGATGTGCACGAGCAGGTTCTCAGAGCAAGAACGGGACAGCGGCAGCTGGGGTCACGGGCACAGTGTTACCTGTGCAGAGCGTGCACTAGTGCCATTTTCTTGCTAGATTAAGTCTAGCAACGTGCACAGCTCCTGTTCCAGGGCCCATCTCACAAGGAGCAGCACCTGCCACCCACTCCAAGGCCCAGAGCGGGTCTATAAAGAGCTCTGCTCCCTCAAGAAGAGGCCACGACAACCGTTTACTGGTCTGTGTGTACAGAGGTGCCAGCGAACGCCCAAGGCAGAAAAAGGCGCCGCCGCTGCGCCCCGCGCCGCGCGGTACGTACGATTCCAGTGCCGTGAGAAGGGGGTCGGGCTCGGGGGCCTCCTGGAGCTGGCTGCTCTGGTCTCTGCTCAGCCTGATGATATCGCACAGGGTCTGCGACGCGTTCGACTGCCTCTGCAAGGAGCACAAGGAGCACAAGGAGCGTCAGCGCCGGCGCACCGCGGCGGGCAGCGGCCAAGGGCACCCGCAGCCACGCGCTGCCCCGCTCCGCGCTATTCGTTCCTATGCTCCCAATAATTCACATCACGGTAACAATTAACAGAGCCTCAAATCAAAGAGAAAGTCTTCCTGAATTCTCAACTAACCACAAATAAAGATTGCAGTGGAGTTTTTTTAACATTCTGCGCAAGTGTGTTCACTTGTGAATTAAAAATACAAGTATTTCACTCTTCCTTATTGCTACTGAGGAGGTCCTGCCCATGAATAAAAACAATTGTTTGATATAACTACTTAGAATTTAATCATCGTTTTATCATTAAACGTAAAAATGAACTAAGAAATTGATAGTAAAATGAATCAAAGAGACATCAAAAATAAAGCAAAACATTAGCAACCAAATGACAGAATGTCCATACAGATCATCCCTCCCTATCACCCTCCCCAAGTCGCTTTGGTAGTTGTTATTCAGAAAGATTCTCCTGCCCTGATGCTGCCCCCGAGCAGAGCGCTCCGTTTTGTCATACTCACGTCCTCATCCTGGCTCGAATGGATCAGCTCCACAAGCCTCTGGATAATTTTTGCCTCGTTAAGCCACTGGAGGAAAAAGAAAGGAAAGGGAAGGAAAATCCTTGGGTTATATCACCGAACTCAAACCGGGGACCTTTGGGAAGTTTTACATAACACCAGCGTTTCAAGAGGGGAAGCTCCTTTCCCTCGATTTCATGACAGAAGTTTCAGGCAGACACAGGTGTGTTTTGACTTGCATTGGGAAGTGCAGCACGCTCAGGAACATGAGGACTCGGAAACCTTTGGAAAACAGACGAGATACGGACGCTATCCGTCCCGAGCAGCAGGGCTACCCGCACGTGTTCCTTCTGTCACCGCCCGTGCGTAGAGCCCTGGGTTAGACTCTCCGGTGACAGGAGCGCTCTGGTCTCCTCGGCCCCTTCAGGCCTTCCCTCCACGCGCGGTGCCGCCTCCCCGGCCTCCGCTCGCCACCGCGTCCCCGTCCCAGCCCCGGCCCCGCTCCCCTCTCAACACGACCCTTGCAGGGCTCCAGCTCCTCATCCGGAGCAAGCGGCAGGACGTCCAATGCCCCGCGACGGCGCCTGCCCTCGACGGGGCTGCCAAACCCCGTCCCAAGGGAGAGGGTTCTGCAAGTTTCTGTGATGATCTTCTACCACGGTTCAGCTGAGGCATGGGGAAAATTAATGGAAGTTTCCTGCCTTCCACCACTGCTTTGTAAGAAGGTCTGGTCTCTTTTCACTGGTGGCCACCGACACAACTAGAGGTAATGGCCACAAACTGAAGCACCAAAAGTTCCACAGGAACTTAAGGAAAAGTTCCTTCCCAGTGAGGGTGTCAGAGCCCTGGAACAGGCTGCCCAGAGAGGTTGTGGAGTCTCCTTCTCTGGAGATCTCCAAACCCGCTTGGACGCAGCCCTGTGCCACGTGCTCTAGGTGACCCTGCGTGTGCAGGGGTTGGACTGGGTGATCCCTGGAGGTCCCTTCCAACCTTCACCATTCTATGATTCTATGATTCTAAGGCTCTACGTGGATCTTCTCCCCGTGAACGCTCATTTTTATGTACATGACTAACTGGAGTCTTTATGCTGCCTCTCTCCTAACTTTGCTCTAATAGCTCTCCTACAGATATCACCCTGTCCAATCTCTTCACCATCTTGTCTCTTCCGGTTCTTCCACTGGTTTCTAATTTTCTGGAATCAAAATTAAATTTCTGAGTCACCTTCTCAGGTCCTTGAAAGTGCGGCTGATCCCTACTCCTTCTGTGGCAACTCATTGGTCTTACCACTTCCTAGCCACTAAAAGAGCCCCAATCCATCACTATTTGTTTGTTTATTCTACAAGAATCTGTTGTCCTTTCCACGTATTTGGGTAAGACTACGGAAATCTTTCTTTCAAATACAAAGATTGAGCTTTCTGATGATAGTTATGGTGGATGGTAGTTGGCAAGTTCACAAAACAGCTCACCTAGCTCATTTGCGTGCTGGACAGCGAAGCTGCCGGGATGCAGCGGCTGCGCCGCGGCCGCCTCGGCACCGCAGAGCTCCCCGTCCCATGGGCGGGATTTGCACGGTGCAGCTTACGCGCCCCGTGGCCGCACGGCACCGTGACCACACACCAGGGTCTGACTGCAATCCCTGGATATTCCCCTGCTATCCATGCACTGAGGAGTATCAATGGCAAAAAAAAAAACCAAAAATCCATTTTTCCTGCAGCTTTCTTTGGCTCCTCAAGTAATGAGGCCCGCAGTGATGCTGCACGGGGTACTTCAGCCTGTTTGCTACTGCAGGCAGAACCGGACTTGCCGATCACTGTCGGCAGCGGCGCTTCCAGCTACAGGAGCCCCTTCTGCCCTGCAGGGACCTTCCCTTCCCTGCTGCCATTCCCAGAGGAAGCCCCAGTCTGTGCCTGTCACATCCCTGCTGAGCTTGCACTTTCCTGGTACCATCCCGAGCGCTTGGGTAAATTCTCCTTATTGCTCCGGGGTAGTCCCGTCCCTCCCGTCCCCACTTTCACAGTCTCTCTACTTCCTTTTTGGGACTGGTATCTACAAACCCTGCGCTAGTCAAATCTGGCCCTCGGAGAGGGTTTCTTTAACAGGGAGAGCGAAGCCCTGGCACACGGGTCACCAGACTGGCACGGGGCTGGTGGGCTCCGTACCGCGGAGGCCTCCTGGTTGCAAGCTTGGTGCCTTGTGCCCTTCAACAGGGTGCCCAGAGAGAGCCCCATCCACCCGGGACAGGAGGTTCCTCCTCAGCCCGGGACAGACGCGTCCCCCCTGCTGCTACGGGAACCGGAGCGGCCACCGGAGCGGTGCAACCGGCTCTGCAAGGCAACGAGGTCCCGGAGCCTCCGGGCTCGAGCGGGAGGACAGGGCAGCTCTGCTGCGAGGGGGTCGCGGAGCCGCAACGAGACTCGTGTCACCAAGGGGAGCAGCAGCAGGGACCGCAACGAGACTTGTGTCACTAAGGACAGCAGCAGGAACCGCAATGAGACCCATGTCACTACGGAGAGCAGCGGCAGGAACCGCAACGAGACCCGTGTCACTAAGGGGAGCAGCAGCAGGAACGTGCACGAGGGATGCCCAGAACAACTGCTTCACATCAGCACCGAACGCTGCAATAAGCAGCACGTCAAAACCCCAAGTGCGCAGGAGCAACGCTCGGATGTGAAACGGTCTCATAATAATTCTGTCCTTTTGGGATTTCTCTATGCAAGATTTTACACTGATAACACGCATACAGAGCACAGACTTATTGATGCCATTTATCTGCCCTGATTTTAAAAATGCTTCAAGCAGCAACCTACATTTCAGCTTTCCTGCTGTACAGCAAGTAAATTATTTAAGGTCAATATTATTTCTTTCCCAGAGACACTTTGGGATCAAAAGAGAGGGATCAAAGAGAGGAAAAGGGGCTGCCATCTACGTGCACAACTAAGATTTGTCCAAGTGTATGAGAAGGCAAATGACAAAGACAAGTCTCCTTGAGGCACCTCCGCAGAGGCTTCTGGTGAAGACTCCTCTGGTGTTTCCAATGCCAAGAGTGCAGAAGGAGAAGAGGGAAGGGAGGGATGATCATCCATTTCTCTTCTTTCTCCTCCCTTAGCACCGTGCAGAGCACGAGAAAACCAAGGCAAGGAAGGGATCTGGCTGAGAACAACCTGTCGGAAAGGGCGATGGAGAGGAGGTGTTTCCAGCTGGATCGATTCCCCAACCCGTTTCACCTTCCGACCACGCGAACGCTCCGGCTGGCAAAGACGCAAAGGGGCTGGATGAGCGGAATGGACATGAGCGGGAAGGGGAGGCAGGACCGGCTGTGCCGAGCGGGACAGCGCGCGGCCCGACCGAGCCACCGCTCCTGGCACCGGCGCCAAACCCTGCGCCGGGGCCGCCAGGAATCATCCACCCGCGGCAACACCAGCGGAG